CATCTACTTCCCCGGCCTCCATCGAGTAACAACAGAGTCTATGGCCAACACCCTCCTACACACCACAAAAAAAACCCCTGCCACGCACAAGCACACATGTAATGGGCAAAGACCCTACCAATACCAAACAAGGGTGCGTTTTATTCCCTTGAATAAATTTTGTAGTCCTTCGTTATACCGGTTGGGTCCAAACGGTAGTTGGAATGTTGGTGAATTTGCCGAGGGGGGGGGGGGGGGGGGGGTTGTGGGAAACGGGCAGTTGTTGCTTGTGAAGGACCGGTAGTTGCCCGTAGGAGGCCGAGGTAGCGAGGGTCCGTGAGTTTTGAATATTTTGAAATCGAAACGACGTGGGTCTACTTTTCTCGAATAGAAGACCACTTCAAATAGAACGCGAATAGAACGCATACGCGTTGTATTCAAATCCACCGTGTACCCTTTCTATTCAAATTTATTTTCTTGTATTTGAATAGAAGATTACCTTTCCTTTTTGTTGGGAGGTTAGCGCATGCCTTTGTGCTACCTGCCACTGACATGCTTCATGCTACAGGGCTCTCTCTCTAAGCATCTCCCTATAGTGGACTTCGGCGGAATGTTCTTGTCTATTTGTGGGGAGCGACAACTACTGGAAACGGGGTCCAGCGTCCCATGAACATTGTGAATAAAGCACCATCCGTAACCCCGAAGTTGTGTATAGCGAACAAGGCAAAACATAAACATAGCATAAGTATTACCTTACCCTTCTCCAACCACATCAACAAACAAACTACGGACTGCGCACCCGTGCCTTGACGGTAAGTCAATTGGTTGGCACCAAGAGTGTTGTCGGTGATCTGTGGGGATTGAACGCAGGACCTCCTGAATGCCACTTGCGGTCAAAATGATCACATCTTAATGTTGCCGCCTTTTTATAACAAAAAAAAAAAAAACGAAGGGAAAATTTGCAAAATACCCCCATAGGGTGAGATATACGCCAAAGTATCTCAGAAAGATATGGGTAGAGTGGATTGCCCTTTGGGGCCGAAATCTTTGTGTGATGTCCTTGTCAAGCCAGTCCGCAAATTTGCAATTTGGACCTTGCCTTTTGGTCCTTGGCCTTTTGCAATCGGGCCTTGGAAAATTTAACTAGTACCGGGGTATTTTACAAAGTTGTTTGGAATCCGGTAGAAGTATATTAGAAATATGGAGGGTCCAGCCGACCAGGTGTACTTCACAAAAGGTTTTCTAGTCAGGGGGGCATCCTGCTCTACCCAAATCTTTCAGGAACATTTTTTTATTTTTATTTTTTTTTAAAAAACCCTCAGGGCTTCATATTATAAACTTTAAAATTGCACTGAGGCCGATAATCCTCAACAAACAACCAGAGTAGGACAGTACCGAAATATCACAGGCGGAGGGGATGGCCTCCCAGCAAGGTCCAGACCTTATCCCAGGGTAAGCACTTACCTGAGATTTTGTCCCATTTGTCTGCCCACCATCTCCAGGTCCTGTCTGATGCAGGACAGTCCCACCACAAATGAGTGGTGGATTCAAAAGCCCATTGGCACCTTAAGCAGGTCATTTCAGTTTTCATTCCATGTTCCACCAACCACACAGCCGAGGGTGTTGCAACCATTGAGAGGAGCCATAGCCTGAGGATTGCAACTTGGCGTTGATTAGGAATCAGTTTTAGTTGTTTCCAACGTTTGCGCAGTGCTGCTGAATTTCGAGATGGTTCCAAGGGGATAAGGCCTGACATTTTGACGTGGCAGTGATCAGAGGATCTCGGGATGGGAGGCTCAAACTGTATCCTAGTTTCTGTGAATAGTCTAAGATACATAACTTTTGTCCTTGATGTCCGGAGACTCGCCATTCCCATTTATTGGGATCGACTTTCAGTTTTGCAACCGGTTTTCCTTTGGCGAATAGTGCCATGACCATTTGATTTCCCTTTTGGGGATTTTCTATTACCCGAATTTGGGTAAAGATTGTCCCTACCAGTGGCTGGGTTTGGATTTCGTCTCTGTGTATCTATAGTTGATCATTATTGGTGATGTGTCATCCTTGGAAGATTCATTTCCTATCTGATTGGATTTGCATCAACTTCCAGATCTGGGAGAGATGAGCAGGTTAGTTAGCAATATACCAAGTCCCTGGGGGGTCTGGGATTGATGAGTCCAATCGATCTTTCCAGTCATTTGGAATGGCTTGAATGAACTGATCTCTTTTCCCCATCAGATCACGTACCTGTCCCAAATTATGTCTAAGGTCAGGTTTTGTCATCCAGTCCCCCTTGAGTTCATCCCATAGGTCGCTAATTCGGATTATGCCTTTTTCTATCCATTGTCTTCCAAAGCTTCTGGATGTCGTGTCAGCTTCGAACCATTCCCCAGACAGGGTATGAATATGAGGATTTTCAAACAGCGGTTGATTAAGTACCTCTATCTTTGTTGTCGGTTCTACCCATACGCTCGGACTCAGAGATCTCCAAGATGAGACTATAGATTTCCAAAACGACGACTTGATGAAACGACGTTGATAAGAGTGTAGCATAAGACATGTTCAAGTGTTTGCTAGACGGGTTAGGTTTCATTCTTCGGACATGATATATTCAGTAAGCGTATCCCAGTGGGGTTCGGGAAAGTCAAGAGCAACTTTAATTAGCCATTTCACCAGCATGGCGTCGTTTTGCTTTTTGGGGTCCAATATACCCAGTCCTCCTTGGTCGCGGGGGAGACATAGCATGTCCCACGCTACCTTGGATATGAATGATTCATCTTCTTTCGCCTGGGGTTTCCAAAGGAAGCGAGCATCCTTCTGGTTCAATAAGTTATATAACTGTTTACCAAAGCCTCTCACTATCCCCACGAACCACAGCAAAGCAAAAAGAACCCCATTAATCACGAACCCTCTCCCGAAGAGGGACAAGTATGAAACTTTTCCCCATGTTGTTAGTCTCTGTAAGTTTTTTTTGCAGGAGGATGTCGTCATGGTCCCCTGCACACGATAGGAGGGAGATCTGGACCTCGAGGAAATGTTCGGACTGATGTTCATTTACCCTTCGCATACCCCATTGTACCGTAAGCTGAAAGGAAGGTGGTAGTATGAAGATGGATTTATGCCAGTTAACTGCAGCTTCTGATAGTTCAGAATATTCGTCCAGACAACAAATAGATCATCAGCTAGAGCCTTGACCCTATATTATGAGTTTCCCACTGGGAAACCACGAATTTGGGGATGCGCTCTAATGTTGTTTAGCAAACCTTCCATTTCAATGGCAAACAGAAGGGGGGCTAATGGGCAGCCCTGACGTAATGATCTTGTTAAACCACCAGTACTTGGCCCAGTGTTCCCCGTTAATGCACCTACAGATGCGGGGGTTGCCCGAGTGGCAGCCCGGTCGGCCGAACAAGGCCGGGCTACGATGTTTTCGAGATGACACTTCGGAGCGTCATCCCACGAAAAAAACAAAATTGAAAACTACAAATCTTACGAAAAAAAAAACAACAAATGCTGGAATTTCAAAACGAGGACTCTCTCTCTCTGTCTCTGTCTCTCTGTCTCTCTCTCTCTCTCTCTCTCTCTCTCTCTCTCTCTCTTTCTCTCTCTCTCTCTTTCTCTCTGTCTGTCGGTTTGTCTCTCTCTCTCTCTCTCTCTCTCTCTCTCTCT